CTCCCCTCCCCCTCCTCTCCCCCCTCCCCCCCCCCCCATCCACCCTCCACTCCCCAGGCAGGGTAGGGCCCTTGACGGGCGCTCCCCAAAGTCCACCACATCATCCTGGGCTGGGCCTAGGCCCTCCACCATGTGTCCAGGCTGAGAGTGCATCCCTTCACATTGGATGGGCTCTCAAAGTCCCTTCTTACACCAGGGGAAAAAATACTAATCCACTACCAGGGGCCCCATAGAGTGCAGAGGCCTTCTCATTGACGTCCATGTTCAGGGGTCTGGATCAGTCCTGTACTGGCCTCCCATGCAGCAGTCTGGGGTCAATGTGCTCCCTCTTGTACAGGCCAGCTGTTTCTGTGGGTTTCACCAGCCGGACCCGATCCCTTTTATCTTCGTTCCTCCCTCTCTGCCACTAATTTCTGTGTATATCTGTGGGTGTCTGCCTCTGCTTCCATCAGCCACTGGGTGAGGGCTCTAGGATGGCATAAAAAGTAGTCATCAGTCTCATCATAGGGGAAGGGCATTTAGACTATCCTCTCCACCATTGCCTAGATTGTCAGTTCGTGTCATCCTTGTAGGTCTCTGGAAATCTCCCTAGTGCCAGATCTCTTCGCAGACCTATAATGGCTCCCTCTGATATGGTATCTCTCATTCTGCTCTCCTCTATTCTTCCCCCAACTCAACATTTCTGCTCCTCCATTTCTTCCTCTCCCCTCCTCTTCTCCTCTCATTCTGGCAGCTCCCTCTCCCCTACCCTCATGCTCCCAATTAGCTCAGGAGATCCTGCCCCTTCCCATTCCCAGGGGTCCATGCATTTTTCCCTTAGAGTCCTTCTTGTTTCCTACTTTCTTTGGTGAAGAGGACTGAAGGCTGGTAATCCTTTGCTCTATGACTAAACTTTATATATGAATGAGTACATACCATGTTTGTCTTTTTATGACTGGGTTACCTCACTCAGGATGGTTTCTTCTAGTTCCATCCATTTGCCTTCGATTTTCAAGATTCCATTGCTTTTTTCTGCTGAGTAGTACTCCATTGTATAAATGTACCACATTTTCTCTATCCATTTTTCAGTTGAGGGGCATCTAGTTTGCTTCCAGGTTCTGGCTATTACAAACAATGCTGCTATGAACATGGTTGAACATATGACCTTGTTGTATGGACGTGCATTATTTGGGCATATGCCCAAGAGATGAATGGCTGGATCTTGAGGTAGACTGATTCCCATTTTATGTCTTAATTCTTGATGTGCCTTCCTTACATGTTTGACTTTGACTAATATTCCTTTGATTCTATCTATGTTCTATGTTGTCAAGCTTTCAACTGCACCTGCAAGTTACATAATTTGTACCTATCATGGGTTTTTAAATTGGGGCCCACTGAATAGAACTTTAGATATTTCAATATAGCTTATTATTTATGTTGAAGAATGCAAGTATGAGTAAATGTTTCTGTTTTTACAATAAACATAAATATAAAGAATTTTGCTCAGTTTTTCTTCACTTTGGAAACCAATATGGCGGTTTCTTAGAAAATTGGGAGTCAATCTACCTCAAGATCCAGCAATACCACTCTTGGGCATATACCCAAAAGATGCATGCACTCTCACACCACAAAGACATGACCCAACTGTGTTCAGAGCAGCATTATTTGTAATAGACAGAACCTGGAAGCAACCTAGATGCCCCTCAACTGAAGAATAGATACAGAAAATGTGGCACATCTACACAGTGGAGTACTACTCAGTGTTAAAAAAAACAGTGACATCATGAAATTTGCAGGCAAATGGATGGAACTAGAAAAAAACGAGTGAGGTAACCCAGACCCAGAAAGATAAACACAGTATGTATTCACTCATAAGTGGATGCTAGATAGAAAGCAAAGGTTAACCAGCCTATGGTCCATAGCGAAGCTAGGTAATAAGGAGAACCCCAAGAGAGACATACATTGGTCCTTCTGGGAATGGGAAAGAGACAAGATCTCCTGAGAAAATTGGGAGCATAGTGAGGGGGGCAGAAGAGGAGAGGAAGAAGGGAGTGGGGAGAACATGAAGGAACAGAATGGTGGAGATGGGGGAAAGACAGAGAGGGAGAGCAAGGAAAGAAGTACTCGGATTGATGGAGTCCTTATGGGGCTAGTGAGAAATGAGGCACTAGGGAAATTCCCAGGAATCTACAAAGATGACTGCAACTAAGACCCTAAGCATTAGCGGATAGGGTACCTGAACTGGCCTTCCACTGTAATCAGATTGATGACTACCTGAAATATCATCACAGAACCTTCATCCAACAACTGGTGGAGGCAGATGTGGAGATCCACAGCTAAGCACTGGGCTGAGGTGCCAGAGTCCAGTTGAAGAGAGGGAGGAGCGATAATATGAGCAAAAATGTCAAGACCATTTTAGGGATAACCATGGAATCAGCTGATCTGATCAAGTGGGAGCTCAGTGACAGCTGGGGAACCTTCCTGGGACTGAATTGGGCCCACTGAATGTGGGTGACAGTTGTGTGGCTTGGGTAGACTGTGAGGTCACCAGCAGTAGGACCAAGATTTATCCCTAGTGCTTGAACTCGTTTTTTTGGAGCCTTTTCTCTTTTGAGGGATGCCTTCCTCAGCCTAGATATAGGGGAGAGGGCCTTGGTCCTGCCTCAAAGAGATGTGCCAGACTTCCTTGACTCCACATGGGAAACCTTACCCTCTCTAAGGAGTGAATGGGGTGTGGTAGGGGAAGGTGGGGAGAGCAGGAGGAGGGGAGGGAGTGAGAACTGGGATTGGTATGTAAAATGAGAAAAGATTGTTTTAAAAATAAAAAAAATCATACCCCCCCCCAAAAAAACTAATGTTTTGTGAAAGAAAAAAAATTTTTGACACAGGGCACTCTCAATCCTCCATTATCTCAATGCCCCTTCTGCACTAAGTGAGCACAGTCAATGGTCCTAAGAACACATTTCTGATACCTTTGTATTCAAGCAGGAATCATCACTGTGTTCTCCTTAGTATAACTGAGGGAAGGTCAAGGCAGATAGAGTTGATGTTCGAGACAGTATCAGATATGAACAGGTCAGGATCCGACGAGAGGGGAAATTCAATAAAGAATGTCAAAGGTAAGGCCGAGGGAATCCCTACAATGCAGGAGCTGTGCACTCCTCCTGGGGGAGGTGCAGAGGAGGAGAGCTGTGCTCAGAGAACACCTGGTGCTGACTGACTACCTGCCTGAGCCGTGAAAAGCCAGGGAGAAGTGTGTGAGGTGGTTGTGCTAGCAGTGACTAAAATACTGAACTTACTACACAGATAAGTCATTGAAAGTGTGTAAAAATAATTTACAGAAAGTTCCTTATGTGGATTCTGTAAATTCATTACAAGAGACTTCAGAGATAAGTAGTTTTCACTTTGTTCAGGGATTGTAAACATCTCGCTGCCCCCTCCCTCCCGAAGCATGATCCTAATATTAGTCTTAACAAGAAAAACCCAGAGTCAGATACTGAGGGTAAAAGCCGAAAGATCCGAGAAGCAGAGCAGCAGCCACTAGAAATCTCTTACCTCTACCAATCCTGGGAACGAATGGGGAGGACCCTGTCTCTACGAATGATCAGACTGATCATTGTGGGGGCACATCCTGTCTCCACCACCTTTAGTCCTCGCCCCCCCAACCCCGGGCCGGTGTGCTGGGATCAAAGGCATGATCCATGTTCTGGGATTAAAGGTGTGAGCCACCACTGCCTGGCCCCTAGGATTAAATAGTGGCTGGCTCTGGTGTCTGATCTCCAGGCAAACTATTTGTCTGAATACAAAATATTACACAACCCTTCACTGTGTGGATTCCAACATTCATATGAACCCCATTCCAGCTGTGGAGTCTGATCCATGCATGACTTACACTGGGTGTCAACACAGGAGGACAAGGCTATTTTTATTACTGGGTATTAAACTAAATCCGCCTTCATTATAGCCAAGTGCTTTACCCTGAGCTAGCTCACTGTGCAGCCTCGATATTGTGTTTAGATGTAACGCATCTATAAATTGTCATTGTTAGCCTTGTCTTATGGTTTAAATGCCTGAGTTTTCACGCTGTAATTAAGATTCCATAATAAGGGCACCTGAGCTTCAGCATCAGAACCTTTTAATGGAAATACCTAGGAACCATGGTAAACATCACTGTGAAATGCTCGCCTCACAGGCTAACATCCGGTGGTGAGATCACAGGGCTGAAACAGCCCGAATCCCCTATATCTGTTCCGGTGCTGAAGTCTGTTTCCTTCCAACCTCACCTCTGCACAGTTGGACAGGGATTCAAGCACTGTACAGAGCACCAATTGTGGGTTCCCGGAAATCCTTCGCGCTGCCTTGTGGGAAATGTAGTCCAGCGTGCGATGACGTCACAAGAAGGGACTTTGGATGCTGTTTTTTCGCAGTCAGTCTTCAAACTTAGCTTCTCTCCAGCGCGTGTCCTGCTCAGCGCTGGGCTTGGATCTCTAATGTGGAGGTTGGTGCAGGGGGCAGCGCCGTCCTGCAGATCTGAGGGACTTTCAAGGTGGCGGGTCCGGCGTGGAGGGAGCTGACTTGGGCTGGGTGGGAGGCAGAAGAAGCTGACCTGGAGGTGCAGCTGTGCTGGGCCACTGCACCTGGGTACAGGTTTGACAGGACAGAGGGGGACATGCCAAAGTCACGTGCTGTGGGTGTCCGAGTCCACCTGAGCTTCTGGTGACCTAGGAGCTGAAGGGAGCTGACTTTCCTGCTTGGCTGAGGAAGCATACACTTCCTAGTGACCCTGGCTCACATGGCTGTAGTCAGATTTCTCAGGACTTCTAGGAAGAGTGGACCCACCTACACTTCATAGGACACCTAGACCCTCCCATACTATAGGAAGCTCACAGAAGTTCCTCCTGGTTTCTAGGAAACTGTGAGGGCAGTTGCTGTATAGGATTTTAATTTCTTTTTCTTTGGAATTAATTGTTAGATTTATGGATGCCTCCGCTGGAGTAGGAACATTACATAGACTCCTGTAACCAGAATCACCACACTACACTCCCATATGACACAGAATAATCTTGTAGTTAGTATGAAGCTGTCTTTGCAGAATCCACACAATTGCGTGCTTCACACTGCAGAGTGAAAACTACTAGAGAGTAATACTGCATCAATTCCTTTTGAGACTGTGATGTCAGAATTTGGGCTCCTTTTCAGATGTGAGAAAGGACTTGGTGTAATGGGGTAAGTGTACCTCTTGACTGACAAGAGGAGGTTTGAATATCTCTGAAAGGGAGAGATGTAGGCAGACATTTCTCTCCCACCAGCCAGTTCCCCAAAAAAAACAACTCAGAGGCAGTATATTAATTATGCATGCTCGTTCTATAGCTCAGGTTCATTACTAACTAGCTTTTACATTTTAAGTTAACCCATATTCCGTGTTTACCAACTGCCACGTGGGGGTACCTTTATTAACGTGGAACATGAACCTCCTCTCCCTCTGTGTCTGCTTGCAGACTCTTCAAACTCTGCCCTTGTCTTTCAGATCATCATTTGTTTGGTTATCCTACCTATATGTCCTGTGTGGCTACTGGCCAATCAGCATCTTATACCAATTCAAATGGCAAATCTTTGTATAGTGTGTAAGAGGATTATTCCACAGCAGAGGGGAGAAAGGGCCCTGTTGATCTGGCAGGCTGTGGGCATTGTCCTCTCACCACAGCCTTTCCTTCTGTCTCTTCACTTTATCGACAGTGTCTACACACATTTATACATACTCTGTCTCTGAATGTGGCATTCAGGTCCCCTGATGCTACCTGAATAGTCATGGAAAGGTTTGCCTAAGATTTTGGGCTGAGTTAGAGACCAAATTCGGAAGGCTGTGTCTCACTCATGGCCCCTTGATTTGCATATAAAAGTTTCTTCCTGAGACAACTGCAGGTCTAGTCTTAAAGGGAAAGGGGGATAGCTTAGTCTGGAGCCATTTGAGAGACCATGCCCTGGGAACAAAGATTAGGTTATGCCAAATAATATGCTCCAGCTGGGAAACAGTCATGGTGTTCCATAGTTTTGAAGAACAAAGGAAGTAATCTATCAAGACAAATTTTAAAAAATGTTGGTGCCTACACTAGAGAGGCAGGAACTGCAAGATGGAGGGATTATCCTACAAGCCCATGACCTGCCTGATAATATACTTAAGTTTTGGATTGATGGAAGCTCATGTTCTGCTAAGTCAGTAGATTCTAAAAGTTTTTTTTTTTTAATCTGTTGTCACAAGCTATTTGGTCCACTACAGAGTGATGCAAGGAATGACTATTTCTGAAGGGTAAAACAGCCCAAGGTAAGGTCATTACTCCCTGAACCTGCTAAATTCTAGTCTTCACAGTTCTGAACTTCCCCCTGGTCTATCAGTGTCTGCAGAAACAGACTCCAAGAATTTTTCACTCACATCCATCCATTCTCCTCCTCCTCCTCCTCCTCCTCCTCCTCTTCCTCCTCCTCCTTCCTCTTCTTTTTTTTTCTTTTTTGTTTATTTTTTCAAGACAGGGTTTCTCTGTAGTTTTAGAGGCTGTCCTGGAACTAGATCTTGTAGACCAGGCTGGTCTCGAACTCACAGAAATCCTCCTGTCTCTGCCTCCCCAGTGCTAGGACTAAAAGCATGAGCTACCACCACCCGGCTCAGACACAGCTTCTTATCAATAATTTTCCTCCACAGCTACTCCCTCTATCTCATGTGCTCTTGCATGTATTACCCAAGTGTTTGTCAAACCTAGTGTTTGGCAGCTGGAGTGTGTCTCATGACATTGAAGACTACACTTAGGAAACATGGGCTTCAAACTACCTTGTCCCATCTCCTGGAATTTTCAGTGAGCTTCCTGCCATATATAAAATAATAGACACTTCCTAGTAGTAGCATACACCTTTAATCCTAGCACTCAGGAGACAGAGGCAGGTGGATCTCCGTTAGTTCAAGGCCACCCTGGGCTACACAAATTTGATCCAGTCTAAAAGAGAAACAGAGCCAAGAGTTAGTGGCTCCACCTTTAATCCCAGCATTCTGAAGTCACACGCCTTTAATCCCAGTACTAGGGAGGAGTGATAGGGCTGGTTGGAGAGAAGAATATAAGTCAGGAGGAGACAGAAGCTCCCTGCAGTCCAAGGAGCAGTGCAGTCTGAGGTCATTCTGAGGACAGGATCTCCCCTTTGGCCTGACTATTGGTAGAGGTAAGAACTCTTTACTAGCTGGTTGCTCTGCTTTCTGATCCTTCAGCTTTCACCCCCTGACAGATTTTATTATTAATAATTAGAACCCCTGCTACAAGAAGTGAAGAGGGAGACATTACAATGGATAAAGGTATCTATAAAAGAAATCTGTTAAATGTTTCTTGCAGACAACAGAAAGATGGATTTTGTTTCTTGATCAATTCGCCTGGCATCTGTCTTTTGCCTGGGGAATGGAGGGCATTAGTCGTTTTGATATGTGAGTGTTATTGTCATTATGCTGTTGACCTGTGTTCTCAGTGGCCCTGTGTTTTAGTAATGTTGGCTTCTTATTTCTTTCCACAGCCTCTTTGCTATGCACATCCTTCTTTCAGCCTAAGATACTACTTCCTGTATTTTCTTTAGCTTTGGTTTGTAGTATATCCTTTTTTAATGCTTCTTATATTATCCTTGCCCTTCAGCTGTGACAGATGGTTTTGCTGTGTGCAGTATCTTAGGTTGGCTGTCACGCTCTTTTAAGACTTGGGATGCATTTCTCCAGGCCCTTCTGGGTTCCAAAGTACACTGAGAAATCAGTTCTGATCTCTATGCACCTGTCTTTTCACTTGTAGCTCTCAGTCTGCCGTGAGGAGTTTGTTTCTGTCCTTGTCTTGCAGGTTCTGTGGACTTGTTGTAATTTTATGGGGATGTCCTTTCCACATTGGAGGAGGATTTCTTTTATGATCTTCTTGGAGATCTTGCCTCTGGCTGGGCTTTCTTCCCATCTATGCCTTTTAAATTTTCATATTCTTAACTTATTTCATATCAGCTACTTTATCTCTAAGTCCTGACACCCTTGTTCTGCTTTCTTCATTCAACTGTAAGCTTTTGTGGTTGGATTGTTGGCTTTTCAGTTCCATCTTCATTTCAACTAAAACCCTCATCAATCTTTTTCCTTATTGAATTCCAGTTTCAAATCCTGATTGTCCTTGCCAATTCTATCATTCTTTGTTGTTGTTATAGGGCATCAATAAGCCATTTACTCTCCTTAAGTTCATTGTCTATAATGATAGAATGTTTGGTTCTTTAAATGAGGGAGGAGTTTATACAGCACAGGCAGTGTTGAAATCCCAAGGCTGGCCACATATGCGTTGCATCTATACCCACCCCTTCCATAAACTGAGATTGCACACATGTGTCACCATACTGGCTTTTTTTGTTTCTCTCTTTTTTTATTTTTTGTATTGTGTCCAATGAATCTTTTACAATCCCTTTGGTGCTTTTTAGTACATTGACAGGTTTCTTGATCGACTGATTGACAGACTGTGTTCTTTCGTGTCTTTTTCATGCTATTGTAATTTTTGCCAGCTTTTTGGTTTGTCGGGGCTTTCTTATGCCTTAGCATGTGATGTTAGATTTTTATTGTTTTCCATCATTTTGGAATTTTCAGCCTCAATCTTTCACTTTTCATACTTTTACATGCTTGATTTCTAGTATTTTTTTTTTTTTTTTTTTTTTGGTTTTTCGAGATAGGGTTTCTCTGTGTAGCTTTGGAGCCTATCCTGGCACTCGCTCTGGAAACCAGGCTGGCCTCAAACTCACAGAGATCTGCCTGCCTCTGCCTCCTGAGTGCTAGGATTAAAGGTGTGCACCACCAACGCCCGGCTCTAGTATTCTTTATTATATTTTTGGTGATATTTTGTTTGTGATCTTACAAATAAGTCTTGCCTGAAGTTCAGCATAAAGACCTAAGCCACTAGTTAGCCATAGCCAGGCAGTGGACGCATACACCTTTAACCCCAGTAATTGGGGGTCACACACCTTTAATCTGAGAAAATAGGTGCAGGAAGATCAGGAGTTCAAGGCCACCAAGGGCTATATGAGATAGAATCAGTATAAAAGAGAAATAGCCATGGCTCTGCCCAGTGTTGCTGGATCAGATCTGCATCTTCATTGTGTTTATCATTCCTGATTATTCATATTGGGGTGAGAAGCGTCCTCCCCATCAGCAGGGCTCTCTACTGTGAGAACCTACATTCTGTGCTGTGTCTTATTATATGAGCCTGGTACAAAACAAATGTTTTGTTTCAAAGTTGTATTATTTAATTATGTAGTATGTATGGTTGTTTTAGTGGCCATGTCTGAGAGACTGTCTGATCCTCTGGAAGTGGAGTTACAGACATTTGTGAGCAGCCATGTGGCTGCTGGGAATGAAGCCCAGGTCCTTTGGGAGAGCAGCCAGTGCTGTTTACTATTGAGCCATCTCTCCAGCCTCAACATACTCTTCTGTAGATACACTCACTCTCCATTTTATGGATCTTAAAGTATAATATCCAGCCTGGTGGTGGTGGTGCACGCCTTTAATCCTAGCATTTGGGAGGTGAAGGCGGGTGGATCTCTGAGTTTGAGACCAGCCTGGTCTACAAGAGCTAGTACCAGGACAGCCTCCAAGTCAGAGAAACCCTGTCTCAAAAAACGAAAATAAACAAATTAAATAAATAAATAAATAAATAAATGTATAATACCCATAGGAGTTTCTAGTACCTTCCGCCATCCAACAGTTCGATACAACATTACAGAACTATATCAGACTGATTTCAGGGATATTGCCTTCCTATATCAAAAGCACTTGTAGGTCTCCTCTCACTCTGGGTCACCTTTACATTTATATCTAGAAACACATATGCCTCTTGTTATTTATGTTTTTACTGGCAGTTTTATTTAGCATAATGTATAGCATTCATTCTTTTTTCTTTATTTCAGAAAATGCTGTCATTCCAGGATGTGGCCATTGATTTCTCTGCAGAGGAGCGTGAATGCCTGGACCCTGACCAGTGGGATCTGTACAGGGATGTGATGTTGGAGAATTACAGCAACCTTGAATTCCTGGGTGGGTTGCTCTTTTTTTAAATTGCTGCCTTTTAAACCATGACTGTCCTAATCAGTAACTGCAACTCCACTGCTACTAGCAGCTATTAGGACACAAGAGCAGAAGCCTGAGGGAATTCTGTTCCCTCAGGCACTGGACTCTTTCACAGCTAGGAAGGGAACGTATCTAAATGTCTGTCACTTTAAAGAACTCAAGATTCAAAGATTGAGGTGAATAGCAAGTAGCTCACCTTCTTTCCTTGCTCATGTCTCTCAACCACCCCTCCCCTACTTCTCCTCTTCCCAGTTAAAAACCCTTCTCAGCCTGGTTCCTCCCTAGCTAAATGCTGACTCAGTCTCCTGAGCACAGGTGCATCATTAGACAAACATTCCAGAGCATAAACTAGAGTAACACACCTTAAAATAATGTTCTACATCATGGGCAAGGAAAACTTCCATGGTGAATTCTTAATTAACTGTCAGCATGAAACTATCTTTGTGCAGAATCTCATGGGAGATTATGCTTCCAACAATGAATCCATGGAGCAAATTTTAAGGAAAATTAAGGAGAGTATGCATACAGCTTAGAATTATTTTATTTCTTCTTGTGTTCATAACCTTCCCCCCTTCCTTTTAGAAGTATCCTTTATATTGGTGGTAATGTTATAAAGTAAGTGACATGAGTGGGAACCATACAAGCATACATAGAATATCACACTCTTCAGTTTTCAATAGTTTCCTTGTAACTGAGGGACATGAAGATCAGGACCTGCAAATCCTAAATTCCTCCTAAGCATTCTGCTGGGTCCATTAGTAAACACATGAAGAATTAATTCTCTACAACCCTTTATTGTATCTTCTTATTGCTTATACATAGTTCTAGAGAGGGCATGAGAACTCCAGGAAAACACACTAATAATGATGTTCTCTTTTTGCATAAACAGGTCTTGCCTCCTCTAAGCCATATCTGGTCACATTTCTGGAGCAAAGTCAAGGGTCTAATGATATGAAGAGACAAACAACATCTACCTTGCAAACAGGTGTGTAGGAATGGAGGGTGTGGTAATAACTTTCTTGCACAAATAAAGCCTGTCTGGGTGTCAGAGAATGTAGCTTGCCACTAGCTAACTATAGACGTCTGGACAGATAGACAGGGAGTGATGTTTCTGGGCAGAAACAGTATAAGCAGGGAGAAACAGGAAATCACTTTTTTCTCTTTGGAGACTCTTAGAAAGTAAGGTGTGGCTGTGGCTTCTTCCTTCTCCCTGTTCTCTCAGCATTTCCCCTAATCTTACTCTGTCTTTTTATTATCTAGACTAATTAAGAACTCCATTAACAGGAGGAGCAAAAGACAGTGGGAGGCTAACAGGAAGCCAGGCGTTGTCATGAACATTGCCTCACAATGTTCTAATGAAATCAGTTTTTAAGGGTCTCCTTTTCTATCTTTTGCTGTGAGAAGAGGGTGTGATGATGCATGGATTCTCTTAGGCTTTGTTCTTCTCTAATTAGGTCAGCTATTTTACAGTGACTGTGTAAGTGCTGTAATTTCTAGGTGACCGTGATTTCTTTTTCATAAGTTGATCAATGGACATTTATTCATAAATGGTGCATAGACCTTCCTGTTTTCAGTCCATAAATAATATCAGATATTGTTGTGGATAGTTTTCTAGTTACGTAGTCTAACTTTCATACTTTCTAAAACTAGAAATCTGTGCTTAGGATTTCTTTAAGCAGCTCATTTACAATAGCATAATAATCTTGGCTTATTTACAATAGCATAATCTTGTTTTCTTAATTGATGTTATGCCTTCCTTATGTTTGACTTTGAATAATATTCCTTTGTTTCTATGTTCTACATAGTCATCATCTTCATCTTTCACTGCAAGTTACATAATTTCCATCTATTATGGCTTTTAAAATTAGGCTCCACTGAATACAGCTTTAATAATTTAAATGTAACTCATTATATTAAGTATGCAGGTATGAGTAAATGTTTCTGTTAAAAATAAACATAAATATGGAGAATTGTTGCTCAATTTTCACTCATTTCTTAACTTTACTCATCAGGAAAACAGCGCTTTATAGGCAAAGAATGTGGCATTACCCTTCCTTTGAACTCACAACCCATTAACCACCAGAAAATTAATTTAAGCATTAAGCCCTATAAGTGTGAAGAATGTGGTAAGGCCTTCCGTTTTCCATCCTTTCTTGGTGTACACAAGAGAAGTCATACAGGAGAGAAACCCTTCAAGTGTGAAGTCTGTGGCAAATCCTTCTATGTCCCGTCACCACTTTCTGAACACAAGAGAATCCATACAGGAGAGAAGCCCTACACATGTGAAGTATGTGGCAAGGCCTTCCATGCTGCATCATTACTTTATAAACACAAAAGAATTCATACAGGAGTGAAACCCTTTAAATGTGAAGTATGTGGCAAGGCCTTCTATGTTCAATCACGACTTACTGAACACAGGAGAACTCATACAGGAGAGAAACCCTACACATGTGAAGTATGTGGCAAGGTCTTTCATGCTTCATCATTACTTAAAGTACATGAGAGAATTCATACAGGAGACAGACCCTACAAGTGTGAACTGTGTGAAAAAGCCTTCTATATTCCATCACGACTATCTATACACATGAGGATCCATACAGGAGAGAAACCTTACAAGTGTGAAGTATGTGGCAAGGCCTTCAATCGCCTATCAGGATATTCTGTACACAAGAGAATTCATACAGGAGAGAAACCCTACAAGTGTCAACTATGTGACAAGGCCTTCTATGTTTCATCACAACGTTCTGTACACATGAGGATTCACACAGGAGAGAAACCCTACAAGTGTGAAGTATGTGGCCAGGCCTTCATTCGTCCATCAGGACTTTCTATACACAAGAATATTCACACAGGAGAGAAACCCTACAAGTGTGAAGTATGTGGCCAGGCCTTCGTTCGTCCATCAGGACTTTCTATACACAAGAAAATTCACATAGGACAGAAACCCTAAATGTGTGAAGTATGTGGCAAGGCCTTCAGTTATTCACCAGGACTGTCTGTACACAGGAGCGTTCATACAGGAGAGAAACCCTACAAGTCTGAAGTATGTAGCAAAGCCTTCCATTTTTCGTCACTACTTGCAATACACAAGAGCAGTCATGCAGGAGAGAAGCCTAGAAATGTGAAATGTGTTGAAAGATTCATTCTGCTCACTTGATAATCCATTCTGGAAAGAAACACACAGCACAAATTAACTCACACTGGAAAGAAACAGTACAAATGTGAAGAGTGGCAAACTGTACAAATATGCAAGTATTCCTTATATTTAAAGAATTTTAAAAAATTCATTCTGGAGAGAAACCCTACAAGTATAAAGACTGGCAAGGACTTTAGACTTTATCCAACACGTTCTATACACCAGACTAGTCACATTGGAGGGAAACATTACTAGTTGGAGAATGGCAAGACCAGGTCTTAAACAACAGCTAAGAAATCATTTGAGAGAGAAGCCTTGTGAAGAATGTGCCAAGGTCGCTTGCACCTTTTGAAACACCTGATAATTCATACTGAAGAGAAATGCCCCTAGTGTCAAAAATGTTAAAAACCCTTTAATAAAATTTCTAGTGTTTCTCAACTCATGGTAGTTCAAACTTCAGTGAAATACTACTAATGTTAAAATTTTCATAAAATGTTTTATGCTTTTTTCTTCTTTACAAGATATCAAAAAATATTCTGAATAGAAGCCCTACAAATAGGGACAATGTGGTAAAGCCTTTGGGTCATTCAGACCTTATCCAGCACTAAAGAATCCATAGTACAAGGAAGCCATACACATGTGAAGGGTCTGGTGAGGTCCTTGAGCACTCAATCAACATTTCCTGCCCTTCTTAGAATCCATCCTAGAGGGAAACAACACAACTGTGGATGGTGTGGCAATGTGTTCAAGGAGCCCTCATACCTTCAACCAGTGTTCCTCAGCCTTCCTAATGCTGACACCTTTAATACAGTTCTTCATGTTGTGCTGAGCCCAGCCATAAAATTATTTTCCTTGCTACTTCCAACCTAACAGTTTGCTACTGTTATGAATCATGATGTAAATATCTTTGTATCCAATCTTCTTGGGTGTCCCTGTGAAAAGGTTATTTGAACTCCAAGGTGTCATGACCTATATGTTGAGAACTGCTGCATTAAACAAAGAAAGGTGTTCATACCAAGCAACAACCCTAGGAAGAATATTTTTCTTCATAATTCACCCCTTGTTGAGCATCAAGGAAGTCACATGAGAGAGTTTCTGCAAATGTAGAGTATGGCCAGTTGTTTAGCTATTCCTCATACCTGCATCTGCATCATAGGTTCACACTGGTAAGGTGCATGACAAAGGCTAAGATGATGGCAAGGCTTTCCCCCACTTTCACATGGGAAGTATCCTCGAGACTTCATAGTAGTGAGAAACTCTGTACACTCAAATAATGCAGAAAAGCCTTCAATAACATTTCTATTCTTCATCAACACCAAACTCTACACACCCCAAATAATGAAAAAACCCTTAATAATATTCTAATCTTCACTAACAACAAAGAATATTTATTGAGAGGAAATAATGGAAACAATGATGTCCTTCTTTGCTTTTACTCTCAATTTCACACAGACAACTCTATGTGTGAATCTTAGTTGTGTGGCCCATGATCTCACTGGCCCATGGACATGTCTGTGGGAAATTTATTTATGCTAATTGATGTAGGGGAATCTAGACCACTGGATGATGGCAGTGCACCATACATGTGCCACCCACTGCCAAGATTCTAGTTATTCTTAATGAGATATTGGAGGTGCTCGTGTTACCCACTACCACGGATATTTTAATTATCAGTACTGGCTTCCAACAGCTAGGAAGGCTGAATGCAATTCCTGGTCACACTCCTCCAGTTGGGCCATGAGGTTTAGGCCTGGTCCTCACAAACCAAGAAGCAGGCAGAGCCAGCATATAGAGCTCCCCAGAGGACACAGCTGTATCTTAGCAATTTGGAGTTTACTCACATGGTTAAAAAAAAAAAAAGGGGCTACGGATATTCAGTTAAAGAGTTTCAGGTGGACAAACCACTGGAACCTGTGTTCCAGTGTATTTACAGTGTGTGTAAGCTTAAGAAAATAAAAAATGTGTATAGACAGTCATAGAAATAATATTTAAAAATAATAAAGTCTTTAAAGACATAAGTGAAATAATATAAAAGAACAAGCCACCATAGAGATGGAAAATACACAGATCTGGATTCTCTGTGTTATTGTGTTGATTCTGGGTTTTTTGAATGCTGATGAGCAAAACACAGCTGCTGACAGACATGGTTTTGAAAAAGGGACAGCACGGACAAACTGCAGATCTCTGTTGTTGAGCAGGTCATAGATAGTGATGAGGACCACCTGAGGGATATCTGACACTGTGCCCAGAAGTCTATGGAAATGGCCACCAGCTGGCACCTGACTGAAACTCCTTCAGGATGGTCTGGTTCTCCTTCTGTGGCATGTCTATGCATGGACAGCACAGCGAAATTGGTTTCTCCCATTTTCTCTGTCAACAAACTTCCTCTTGGTCTTAAAGATGACAGTCAGGTCAGCCTGTCATAGAGACCACACAATATCAAACTTCTGTTCCTCCCTTTCCAATGCCACGAGAAACATTCAATGCCTTACACAGTCAGTGCGTCATACTTCACCAAGATATGTATGGGGTCAGTCATGAACTTGTTTGTCATCTCCAGGACCTCCTGAGGCCATGTGGCACTGATGAGAACAGCTTATGTGGCTGGTGTCAGGCACATGCACACATCACAGATTTGCTCCTTGAAATGTTTGTTCAACAATTCATCAGCCTCATCCAAAACCAACATCTTGATAGCCAGTGCCCGTAGTCCAGTCACTGCAGGTCTTCCCAGCATTGTTGCCCACATTGTAGGTATGGCCACACACATTCATGTAGGCCCCCACAACAAGAAGACCCTTTTGAATCTACAGCTGACTCTCTTGTTGGAGCGAAGATCAAATCTGGTGTTTCTCAAGCCTGGATATCTAAGCACTGGAAGACCGAGCTACTGAGGGTGGCTGCCTTGCCTGTGGCAGACTGAGACTGTGCAGTGACATCTCTCCCTTTAATTATCTCCTTGGTAGTATATTGCTGGATTGCTGAATGTTTCTCAAAACCATAGGCATAGATGTTCACAGACGATTGTGCCTCATTCCCATGGTGTGGAAAGTGAGGGACACATCCACTTCCTCACTAGTCTCAAACTTCACATTGGTCAAGTCCTCCTCTTTGAGCAGCTGCTTCTGTATGGAGCCCAAAACCACCATTGTGGCTGAGGCTGTCATGATCCTAATTCTAATCATGTAGTGTCTATTTATCAAGGCTTTGTTTGTACATGGGAGCATGTTCTCCTTTCCCTGTGGAACATGTATCATTTCCCTATCCTCCTGCCTCTATATCATTGCACAGTGCCATTTGGTTTTGGATGAGGCTGAAGAAAGATTGAACAAATATTTCAAGGAGCAGATCCATGAGAAGTGCACCAGCAAAGAGTCTATTTGACTAGATTTTTGCATCACTGAGGAAAGGATATATCTTTTTAAATGGCAACTGGCAGGTGTTTAACCATTTTTTTGTAGATAAATTCAAATAGTGGGAAAAATATTACCTTCAAACATAATTTTCCCCCTAAAGGTAAGACCTAAGATTTAAGTTTTCTTTTTATCACAGTTTCTATGCATATCTCTGTCTTTCCTGGAACTCAGTTATAGACCAGGTTGCTTCCACTTCTGTCATCTGGCTCCATTAGCCTCCTGAGTACTGGTATTAAAGGTGTGTACCACCATGCCCAGATTAAAATTTTTAATTATATAGTTTCTATCATTTTACCAGTTGTTGGGGTGTGTGTGTGAGAGAGTCTTTGTGCCCATCTTTTGCACATGAGTCTGAGGATGTCAGAGGAGGGAGTCTGATCCTCTAGAATTGCTGCTACTTGTGCTTGTGAGCCACCACATGCACATTGGAAAATGACCTCACATCCCCTGCAAGAGCATTAAATTCTCTTAATTACTGAACCACCTTTTTAGCCTGTAAGAGCAGATTGTAAAGTGAGTTGGCCAAACATCACATGTAATGCAAAATGCTTCAATGGCAGGAAATTGCATGTTAGAAGTATTAAAATATTGTTATAGGCAAAAAATTTAAAATGTCAACATGGTCTTAGCAAACATATTTGGTCAAATAATCCAGTTCTGGTTTGTCTTTCCCATAACTATGCCTGTGTCTCTAACGTCCTACCTTTCAGGTATTCAGTGTTGCATCGGTAGGTGGAAGGATAGGTCACTCCAATATGAATTTTTAGGCCTGTGTGTCAGCAGGAAGGTCCAGCTTCTGAGGATTAATCCTTGAGCAGCCATTCAAAGTCATGTTTAATGATTGTTACACAAAGGTGTATATTGGGCAAACAAGTTCCTTGTACTAAAGTCCTTGAACTAATCTGCATCTCTCCAGGTTGAAAGCATCAGACCCCTGCTACTTAGGTCCATATAGTTTACCATTTGCAGTACCCAGTATTCCAAGAGCTTCAGGTGTGCCAGAGGCATCCTGTGACCAAAGTCATGCAAAGTATAGCAAAGGCAGTAAAGCATTCTCAGAAAGACAATTCTATGAATCACAAAAAAGAATCACTGTTTTTCACAATAATTTCTTCAAGGTCAGAGTACATCTAGAAAAAACTATTCTATTCTACTAGATAGAGAAGAGCAATTACTCGTTATAATGTTAACCCTAGATGCAGTGTCTCTGTTAGATTCCTATAACACTGCTAAGTGGGCTGTCTCTCTTAGACTGTGCATGTTCAGTTTGTACTTGCATGTGGTAGCTCTGCCGTGTCCTCTTTAAACAGACAAATTCCACTAGGAAGAAATGGAGAGGACAGAACTGTTGTGAACGGATGCTGCACATCTAAGATCACCACTTCTCATGTGACTCAGGAGCTTCCCAGTCATGTTTCCATGTAACAGACACAGACACACATGTGCACACACTCTCATACACAGACACATATGTGCACACACTCACATACACAAACACACATGTGCACACACATACACAAATACGTGTGCACACACTCCCATACACAAACATACATGTGCACACACTCACATACACAAACACACACATGCACACACTCTCGAAAACACATATTAGAAGTCTAGCCGTGCTCAAAAGTGCTAAGTCTTAAGGTGGCTGACAAGGCCCTTCACTGCAGCACTAAGTTGGAGGACAGAGCAATCATGAGCCATTCTAAACAGATGTGCCAATCAAATGTCCAGGTGAGCTGGGTGGTGGTGGTACATGCCATTAATGCCAGCACTAGGGAGCCAGATGCAGGTAGATCTCTGTGAATTCCGGGCCAGCCTGTTAGTTCCAGGACAGGCTCCAAATTTACAGAGAAACCCTGTCTCAAAACACAAAAACCAAACCAATCAACTAAACAAACCCCCCTCCAAAAAAGGAAAACGAAACAAGAGAAAGTAATTTACAGACAGTTTGAAAGATCTGAGATGGATCTGGGATCCTAGTTTCTACTTTGTTCACCTATTTTAAACATCTCTGACC